TCCTGGACTTTCCTGCCTGGGCTGGCTTTGAACCACGATCCTCAGATCTCAGCCTCCTGAGTAGCTAGGATTACAGGTGTGAGCCACCAGTGCCCAGCTATCAGTAAGCTGTGAGACCCTTATCTCCAATGAACCACCAGAAAACCGAAAGTGGCGCTGTGGTTCAAGTGGCAGAGTGCTAGCCTTGAGCTGAAGAGCTGAGGGACAGCGCCCAGGCCCAGAGTTCAGGCCCACGACTGACCAAAAAAGAAAAAAAAGAGTCTCCTAGATATTCCGGCCAAGGCTGGCTTTGAACCTTGATCCTCAGATCTCAGACTCCTGAGTAGCTAGGTTGACAGGTGTGAACCACCAGGGCCCAGCTCCGCGAGACTCTAATCTCCAATTAACCAACAAAAAGGCCAGAAGTAGAGCTGTGGCTCAAATAGTAAAGCACCAGCCTTGAGCAAAAAGCCAAGTGAGAGTATAAGGCCCTGAGTTCAAGTCCCAGTACCAGTACACACCCACCAAAACATCACACACACACACACACACACACACACACAAGATGGACTGGAGATGTGTCTCAGTCTAGACCACCTGTTACTAGCAAGAAAACAGAAACCACAAGAACCCCACATGGGACAGGGGGCTTTGCATACCCCTGTATTGTCACATGATATGGGGGATGCGCATGGACCTCTGAGGTCTCCAGGAGTCTGGCGGGGGGCGGGGCCAAAGCCACAGCCACGGCCCACACCTGGCTCCTTCCAGGCTGTGGGGGGCTGGTGGTGTTGGGCACAGCCAGCTGAAGCCCCAGGCTTTGGGGGACAAGGGTGGGGGGGTTCCCCGGGCCACAGTCCCCCTCCCCACACACAGAGTTTCAGGAATCAGCAGTTCCTGGGGTTCCGTGAGTCTAGGAAGCATGGAGCTACCCCAGAGGCTGAGCAGCAGGCCTTTACAGGACTTGTCAGAGCCCTTATGGCGCTCTCAGTCCTCACGAATGTCCACTGTGGAGGCAGAGGGTGCGGCGTTTCCCAAAGGCGCTGGGACTGCAAACCCGTCCCCGCGCCCCGGGCCCCAAGCCCCGGGCTGGGCCGGGTGGCGTCCGGCAGGCATGCTCTGGCCGGTTCAGTCTGAAGACGTTGGAGGTGGCGGAGGGCACGGCGTGCGGGCTTCGGGGCGCTTTGTGGGGAGCATGCTTCGGCAGGGACACAGCCACAAACGTGCCGGGGCCTCAGCCTCCTCCCGCCGCCGCCTCCATCATCTTGTTCTCGTCTGCCAAGGCCACGCAGAAGCAGCAGCCCTGGCGGGGAGGTTGAGTCAGGGCGGCCCAGCTCACAGGCTCCCCGCGTCCTGGCCGCGGGGCTCACCAGGCGGAGATGAGCATCTGGCAGGTGTTGGAGGACAGCCAGACCACCTCCACCAGGCGGAACTGGAAGTAGCCGATGATGAAGCCCGAGACGACGTCGGTGATGTGGTGGCGGCCGATCATGACGCGCGACAGGCCCACGCACAAGGCCCACAGCACCAGCAGGATGCGCAGGGGCACCGCCAGCACCAGGTGGCTCAGGAAGAACTTGGACAGCATGGCAGCTCGGCTGGCATGCCCTGCGGGGAAGGCGTACACGTCCATGGTCAGGTAGTCCAGGAGCCCTGGGCTCGTCTCGTACGGGCCGCGCCGTTTGATCAGCTTCTGCATGCCCGCCACAGTCATAATGTCCAGGAGCAGGGCTGTGAGTCGGGACAGAGGAAGGACGGTCAGCACTGCCACCCGGCCACCCTCTCAGTCCCTGGCCACCCCAGCCGTATCTAGCCAGCACGCACTATGCTCAGATGTGCTGACAGAATTCTACCGCAGGGCCTTTGCACCTACAGTGCCCACTATCGGCACAGCCCTTCCCTCCATGAACCGCAGCTGCCCAGCACACCTTCCCCATCCCCCTCACCCTGCCACACAGCCTTCCCCACAGCTGATACTGCTCTTTCTTTTTCTTTTCTTTCTTCCCTTTTCTCTTTCTGCCAGTCCTGAGGCTTGAACTCCATGCCTGGGTACTCACAGCCCTTAGTTTTTTTCACTTAAGGCTAGCACTCTACCACTTGAGCCACAGACCCACTTCTGGCTTTTTGGTTAATTGGAGATAAGAGTCTCAAGGAAGCCGGGTGCTGGTGGCTCACGCCTGTCATCCTAGCTACTCTGCAGGCTGAGATCTGAGTATCACAGTTTGAAACCAGCCCAGGCAGGAAAGTCCATGAGATTCTTATCTCCAATTAACTACTCAAAAAAAAAGCCGGAAGTGGCGCTGTGGCTCAAGGGGTAGAGCACTAGCCTTGAGCTGAAGAGC